TTTCTTGCAACAAAAGTTGGCATCCCACTTCCCATCTGTTCCACACGCCACAGATAAGCTGCACGGTGGACCAAATTAGCATCTACCTGTTAACGTGTTTGTAAGTGTAGGCCGGCAATGCACGTTGTTGCAGGTAGACGCAATATGGTCTCAGGATGAACGATTTTGTAAAGACAAATTTTCTGTGCAAAACTTGGCTTCCCAGTTCCCATCTGTTCCACACGCCACAGATAAGCCGCATGCTGGAGTCCCTCCTCTGCTGGCGGCCTTATCTGATCCCGTCCCGTCCGTCCGCCCGGTGTTTATCACATTATCACACCGGGTTCGGACCCTCGCGTGCCGCCACGCAATCACCCCACACAAAACCCCCCTTCAAAATGTCAGAAAATCGTCTTGAACGCACGGGAAGACGGATCATCCCCTCCCCTGCAGAGCCGGATAATTTTGATGAATGTGAGCCTCGGTGGTTTTACCCGCCACCCAGGAATCTGTCTCTGTCACAAACATGTCCAGAAAGTCCATAATTACGGCGGATTGTGAAGTTTTGTGAACACAGACTCCCTTCAAAATGACGGGCTCGTGCGTCCAGCGCGGCGCCAATTTCGCTTTTTAAGTGAAGTGTTCGTGATTTACGAGCGCGAAGTACTCAGGGAACAGACATCCTATTCAACCCTCCCGCTTGATGTTAGAACCGGCTTCCTGGATGCGGCTGATACCGAGAATTAAGTAACAAGCCGTCGCCCACTCCCTGGTAGGATTGTTGTTACCGACATTACGCAGGTCTGCAAGAGGAAGATAGTTCGAACGCGTTCCGTTAAAGATCCCCACTTGCGAACTTGAGAAATGGGAGTTTAGCTTGGTTTATTACTTCCGGTTACGGATGCATTGTTTTGGGCGGCTAAGTCTTGTGTTTTTGCCTCTGTCTCTTCTATTTGCTTCGGTTGCTTGCTCATGATGGGTAGGAGGTGGTTTTGACAGATGTTTAATAGGAGGGATTAAGTCCGAAGGTCACCTAGCTAGCAAGCGCAGTGTGGGTGTATTTGGGCAGTAAATGGAGGAATTCAGGAGGAAGCGCTATCATACCAGACGAGGAGGTGATTTTGACGTTTGAGAGGACAGGTCCGAAGGTGACCTAGCACGCGCAGTGGTAGTAAATGGAGGAATTCAGGAGGAAGCGCTGTCATACCAGATTAAATTCCACTACCAATACAACCCTTCCACAGATCCAATGCATTCAATACGAAAACCCAACACACTTCCCGGACTTTGTCTTCAGGAACAAAGTAACAGGCAAATTCCGGCTAGCAAAAGTAGAAACAAAGCCCAGGTAGCAAAATTATGTTTCCTTTGGACACACAGATATACACGATAACAACAAGGCCGTCCCATAAGCCTGCTGCATATTCCGGAAAGATGCATGAGTTCGGCTAAGCAGTGATTAGACGGAAAGATTACGAGGAAATACGCCGGGATTTTTAAAAACCCATCGTAAGAATTGGACTTCCCCGGACCAATTTCCAGGAGCTTATCCCAATTTATGCAGCCAGAAGGGACGTACGTAGATAAATCTCTGCTTCATGGGACCTTATTAGGCACAGACATGGAAACATGCATGTTTGGAGTGGGGTTGTGTGGCGTAGCGTCAGAGTACTCGACTCGGAACCCAGAGATCCCGGGTTCGAGTCCTGACATGCCACCGATCTTGTGCCCTTGGGAAAGGCACTTTACACGACTTTCCTCACATCGCTCAGGTAAAAATGGTATTTGTGCCCTGTTTTGGTTGAAAAAAACTTGAGTGTGCCGTCACCACGTCTAGTAATTACATGTTGGCATAAAAAAAACATGTATGTTTCTGTAGTAAACATCAGCGGTACCCATTACTGCAGTGTGCAAAATAACTGCCTGAAAAGTTATGGATGAAGTACGGTCTAACCTTTTGTTCTGCAGAAATGTCAGAGACGGCGTTAGTGTCGTAACATTTCTCTCGCGGTCCATCTGAAAGATAAAGAGATATCCGTAAGTTGTTTGTCCAGACACCGTAGGCGTTATTGGGCAATTTTTTGAAGGTAGCATCATCAGTTTTCGACTCTTCTTCAATTTGTTCTCAAAGAATGGCAATATCAGCGAGGCCTTTGACTTCACACGGCCGAGTGCGAAATGAGAGGCAGAACTTTTGGCGGCAGGACTATTGATCAAGCAGAGAACACACTATTACAGACGAAATGACAAAACTTTCTGGTGTTGAGACTTGAAGGTTATCGTTTCCGCATGTTGAATGTAGATTGGATGAAAGATTGCGAAATATCTGATACGATATAATACATTTACCCCCGTTGTCTGTGCCTTTTGATTTTCTGTCATTCTGCATGTCAATCTTACTTACCACCATCCACGTGCTGCCAACCTACTATCCGGACGAACCGACAAACAAACCAGCAGGCAAACCCGCCCAAAGCAATACTTCCGGAAGCAATAACCAAATCCATGTGTAGCATGCAGATATCTAACTTACCAGACGTGTTCTATATCTATACGTCTACTTTTAACAGGATCATTTGGTTTTCCTATATACCTGCTGTGTTTATCTCATTCCAAGAGTAATCAGTTTCATGTCTGGATGGTTAGATAGAGAGGGCCAACTCAGGAAAAAACTCTGCTCACGACCTGCCAGCCTACCTGCCTATGTGCTCAGGCCAGGTACTGGCCCCTTGCTCCCCTACGTCTGGTTTCTCCAACCAGCTCTATCAAGGGCAATAGTCTTTGCTTCCCTTAGGATAAGCCCTGTGTCACTCTGAATCTGGTCTTTCCACCTCTTGGGTGGTCTTCCCCGGGGTCTGGGGTTTTGGAACTCCTGGTGGTATGCCTTATAAACTAAGGTGTTTGCTGGTCTCGCATCACATGCCCAAACCATCTGAGCCTTCTAGTGAGTATCTGCGCACGACCTCATTCGCGATTGCCATCATCATTCAAAAGCCATCATCATTCGTAGCGAAACACTTCTGATCAAACAAACAAACAGGCAAACCCACCCAAGACAATACTTCCTGAAGCAACCAAGTGTGGCATGCTGATATCTAACTTACGAGAGGCCCCTGTTTAATGCCTGGATTGTTAGACAAGGGGCCTACCCAGGAAAAAAACTCTGCTCACGACCTCATTCGTGATTGCCATCATCATTCAAAACCCATCATCATTCGTAAAGAAACACTTGTGACCATCGATCGCATTTAGAGACGCGTTTTCAGACCCCTTTAATCGCGAGAGAACCTTTAGAGGAAGATTAGCGCCCTGGGTTCCTTAATGACACACACGGGACGGCAAAAAAGATGAACCAATGACATGAAGAGGGCCACGCTTTCATTCAATCGCCAAGAAACTTTACCGAAAAGCCGGGTTCGATTTCGTGACCTTCTAGTGAAAACCACAACCGCGCAGCGCGGTCCCTCAGGAACTTTCCAGGCCTAGAAATTAACTTTCTTTCTTCGAGCCAAAAGCCGGGATGTGTGCCTGATCGACAAAAGTAGGGCTGACATTCTGATTTTTTTTCTATTGTCCCAAAAATGTCCCAAAGTGACTTTTCAGGTGTCCCAGCCTAAATGTTACTGGTCAGTGGCCATCAGAACACCGTTAATTTGGAGCCCTGCTTTCTCGGGAATACTGAATGAGGAAACTTCATAAGTTGGGGATTCAGCAGGACTTACAATGCTCGCGTGGTCGTGAAAACCGATTACGGATTAAAGGGGTCCATTGTACAGGCAAGTTCCATAGCGCAGCATTGGGGGTGGCATTGTACAGGCAGTTTCCATCGCCGAGCATTGGGGGTGGCATTGTACAGGCAATTTCCATCGCGGAGCATTGGGAGTGGCATTGTACAGGCAGTTTCCATCGCGGAGCATTGGGAGTGGCATTGTACAGGCAATTTCCATCGCGGAGCATTGGGAGGGAGGGGGCGTCCATTGTACAGGCAATTTCCATCGCCGAGCATTCGGAGGGGGGTGGCACTGTACAGGCAATTTCCATCGCGGAGCATTGGGTGTGGTATTGTACAGGTACCTTCCATCTCTTCTTCATTCTGGTTCATCCTTCTGTAGATCTGTGGTATAACGTAACATGGCGTCAGCAGCGTACCGTGACGCTTATGCGGCGGTACAGAGGGAATCTGTTGTTTAATGTGGTCTGTAATTGACGGAAAAGGGTGGAAATTATGTGCAGTGCCTTAATGTGCCAATTCCAATGCAGTGTTACATGTCTCATTTATTCTCAAACAACTATGTTGCATTAATTGTGAATTTGGCAGGTTTTTACGGATAGTTTTAAAAACGTCATGTACATGTTAATATATATATATATATTATATTAACTTTGAAACTTTATATTATATTGATATTCTGACGATAATATAGTATATTTCTACGGATTTATCACAACTAAACGTTTACAGTAACGTAACAGTAAATCATATAACTGAAATCTTGTGTTTTCTCTGACCCTGACCTCTTCCCACTTCCCTCTTAAATGAAAGTGGCCAGCTTTATGAATAAGCAATTTTCAGGCTCAAGAAATAAGGCGACTGACTAGTCTAGAAGGATTTATGGTAATAGGTGATTAGGTGATTAATTAATAGGTAATTAGGTGATTATAAAGCAAAGCAAAATGAAAGCAAATAGAAACATGTATCTGTTTCTGTCCTGTCAAACAGTCAGAGGCACCATATTAAAGAAAATCGTTGAGTAAACTAACAGTATGATCCTATCAGGGCATCCAGCCAACTACACCGTATCAAATGCCTTTTTCTCAGACCATACTGTCTACTGATGGAATTATGATAGCGTCCAACGTTATGCACAACCGTTCAGATAGCAGACCCACCTTTATCTACACACCCCCACTGTGGACCGCGGTCTTTCAACTACAGAGGCCGTTCCAGGCCCGCGTCTGTCTTACATCCATTATCCTGCCATAACCTTAATCCCTTCTATTACATCAACAAACCGGAGCAAATGACGGCGGCAGAGCGTGAGGCTGGGGGACCGGGTGTGCGTCAGAGGAGCGGGGACATCAGTAGGACTCGTCAGTCACAAGCATGCCCGTAGCCAAGGGGGGTTCGGAAGAACCCTCCAACAAGGCTCGAATGTCCACTTTTTATCTATAGGTCCAAGATTTTTCTTTAAAATGTGGACTGATTTGTATTACCAGCAGGGTTGGAATCCTAGAAAAACTGTTCACTTTGTCATTGAAAGAAAATTTATTTCTTTTGAAATACTCTCAAAAAACGCAGGAAATACTTCCGGGAAGTATGGAATTCTCAACTTCCTGAATTCTCCCGTATCGACCTCTAGTTCCTACCATTTTCGTAAACATTTGACCTCTTGTTATTCTGCGTGTCTACCCTCACCCGCGTGCTGTCAACCTACTTCGTCCGGACAAACAGATACACAAACCCACAGCTCAGCCACCCAAAGCAATACTTCCGTACTTACTTACTTAGACTTAGGGGTCCCCACGTCTCGTGACACATGAGTCAGTCAATGTATCCCAGCTTCCTCTGTCAGCAGCCAGCCTCAAGGCTACATTCCATCTCTTATTCACTGCCTGGAGGTCCCCTCGACTGTCTGTCGCCAGTTCATGTTTGGACTTCCCCTGTTTCTCCGTCCTGAGAATGGAAATAAAAAGGTTTAGAGAAAATCTCCAGCCGTTGCCATGCCAACCGGTAAGATGGATGACTCCCCAGTTCAGACATGTGACGTAGTGACGGGAGGCGTGACAGTCTTCCAGACACCTTTGACCCCGTACCAAAATCACATGTCTATCAGAGCTGGCTTCAAAAGCTGCGGTTCATTCAGACTCACGGTCGCTATTCGCAGAGATCGATGAATAAAGACCAAAGGTTCTGTTGTCATCTGGGCGAGTGGTTACCCTTCCTTTGATTCTGGACAGAATGAGGACATATTAGCTTTGGTTCAGCAAGCCTAACTGTCCAGAAATTAGGGCCTATTCTGCCTGTAGATAAGAATTACTGGCGGTACGTAACCCACTTTGTTCTTCAATAAACTAGACTAATGGGTCAAAAGGCGAGCCAACTCGTAAATAATATCTCCTTTCAGCCTCTTTTTAGACCAAAAACTCGAACAGATTCAAGCCAAGTGTTGGGACTCGTTGTAGCAGGCACTGTAAGAAATCAGATGTTTACGCAATGAAATTCGTAAATGAGTCTTAAAGATTTGAGCATGATCAAGGTGAAATGATCATTAAGTTAAACATCCGTAAAATTATAGATAAAGAAACATACAGAGTACTAAAACAGAACCTTAACGCATGTTTTAAGCTTGCTTCAATAGAAAATCCCCTGCACTGAAGGAAAACATATGGGGCTGATCACGAATAGAGAATAGAGCTACGATAAATGGAGTACTATTTATATAGCTTTGTGTATCTTATGGTGTTCGCGTTTGCACGTTCCTCTTGGGTAAAATAAAATCTTAAAACTTGAAAAGCAATAAAAAGAGATACACAAAACAGCATGGGTCTAAGATTACGTTTTAAAAATTCATTGGTACTTAGGGAAATATGAGGAAATAAACAGAATTAATTTTGTCTAAGAATTCAGACTGTTTGAATACTAAATCTAAGCCTTGCCTTTCTAAAACTGTTTCATGTAGCCTAACTTCTGTATTCATTCATTTAAGGTAAGCTGTCACGGTAATACATATCAATGTAATAGAAATTTAAATGGTAATCACTATTACACATCGATTTAACTCACAGTTACAGCAAATGGAGGATTACAATTAGAAACAAAAATAAATCCCAATCGCAATCGAAATCAATTGGATGGCCCTTAATTGGGTGGAAATGTTATAATTTAATGACTGGCATACATTTATGTATCGATTTAAAAATTCTAACTAACACTAACCGTATTTCATGGCCAGACGTTACTCTTAGACTAATAATGTAACACAGTAATATGTTACACAATTTATACATATGTGTAGGCAAACCAGTTCATTCACCCTGGGTATTTCTCCATATTGATCTAACGCTGAGAACCGCTTCAGAAATCGTTCCCTCTCTCTGTCCGCGCTATTAGATTTCTGGGTCAGAAAGCGCGAAGATGGACACAAATTAAACTACGGGAAGCGGCGACCCGGTTAGACGCGGGGAAGAGAAATCGCGGGCTGCCGAAAACCGGGACGTCTGGAGCGCTCACGAGGTTACGCGTCTCAGGATGTGATGTGGACTGCAGAGATATGGGATCGATCTTAATTATGATAACTCGCCGTAGGAGGAAATTGATTTCTGTCGAGATGTCTAGAACAAAGTCAAAAAAAGACTACGTCCTTGTCGGTGCGCTCATGTTTAATTTTGATATACATCTGGAAACCCATAGGTAAGGCAACATATGTATGTACTGCACCCGTAAATATAAGGTAAACCTTTTTTTCCAGAGCAGCAATTTTTACGTTATTCTGGAATATTTCTTGGCCAAATTTCTCAAGAAACCTGTTTCTGTCTCAAGACCGCTTATCATGGACCTTAATACGTTTCCAGAAGAGTCCTGAAGTATTCTTGCGGTTTAGCAATTATTTTGATATTCTGGAATATTTCTCGGTTAAATTTCTCGAGGAACCTGTTTCTGTCTCAATGCCGCTTACCATGGCCTTTAGTACGTTTCCAGAACATTCCTGAAGCATTCTTGAAGTTTAATTAGCCCAGCTTGTGTATAAGTCGGCGTAACCAGCCAACTTCCGTTGATGACATGCTCCTTATCATCATAACGTCTGCCACAAGTCAATTACACATGTTTCCCGTGCCTGGGGGTGTCTGTGGCCTTTCTTACCCTGAAGAACAAGCTTCCTTATCGGCGTGTACGGAAGGCTTATCTTAAAAGTGAGCACTCCATATGTTCAAACTAACGCATTCATCATTCCAGAGTGGAATGAACTTATTTGTGTATTCCTGTCAAATCACCGAGCTCACGTCTGTGCATTTCATCTCATAAGATGATAACAATAGCATAGCTACTAGGCATAAATATTATTGTCATTATTAGTACAATGGTGATATTACGTTTGAAAACAACACACTACTAGATTTATGTGTATTATGGTGAATTATGAGGTTTTATGCCTGTTTGTTATTTCCCTGGCGTCACATATGTTTAAGTCTGTGTACTAAGTCTGATGTGTAAGGGGATTATGTTTGTATTAGTTATATTATGTGTACAAATCTCTACTTGTCACACTACATACTTCTTGTTAGTAGTTCTATTTTGTAATTTATTTACCATTACACGCGCGTACTCAGGCTCGTTTGCAGTGATATCAGAAATGACATGGGTACGTGTAATGGTTATTCATTAGATGTTGTTAGAAATACCACCTTCTGTGAAATCATCCTTTGTAAGGTATGAACAATGGCAGCATTCAACCGTACTGGTAATGAATGTACAGCATAATTATCACCTAAGCGTGCACGAAACATAATGGGGCTGTTCAGTGCAAAATATGGCCCTACCAGTAGGTGCCATACGTTTTACCCTGTACAATTGTTGTACAATAACGTTAGTTTATTCCAAACGGGGATGGGGACCTCTTAGAATGTCAGGTTCTACTTTTATCTTGTCATGTGATTGTCGTTTCCTGTAATATTTCTCTTGACCTTCATCATCCTATCTTTGATAAAGAAAAACTCAGACTTGTTTTGTCAAAATGAAATAGATCGGAGAACCACATTTTATCTCTAGATTTATTTTCCTTCCTTAGTACGAGTTATATCGTTTTCCAAAAGTCCCAACGAAGCCTTGAGCTTTCCAGCTCGTATTAAAACCAAAGGTATTATAATAATAAATTGCGCAAAAAATAACAAAACGGTAGGGTACTTGACTGTTCAATCAGTAAAAAAAGGACAATCGTGGCAAGTAACATAAACAGCTGCTAGTTTATCAGCGAAAACTTTAAGTCAAAAAGTTTCTTTTCGGCTCATTTTTAATGCAGTCTAAGGAACAGACATGGCATAGTGAACATTGAACCTCATGGGAATATTGGTTCTATCTAAAACATCTCTCCGAAGGCACATCAGGGCCACCCCCTCCTGATGGACCCGTGAGTACGCTTCCAGCACACATCACACCATCACCCACCCCGCTACAGGCTGATAGCCACCGAGGCGCGACCTCGCTCATGTCAGCACCTTCAAGGTTTCATCTTCCTTCGGAATCATAAGGAGGCCCCTGAATCTTAAGGCTGCCGCGGAGGAACCCTTGAGGAGCCGGGAAGGCGCTGATGACAGGTGATCATCAGTGATCCTCTTCCCTCAGGAGGAAGAGCCATCTCCAGTAGCTCTGGCATCTTCGGTTATTTATCACTGGTAGGGCGAGAAGTTCCTGTTGCCGCAGCTTCGTATCTTACAGACATCCAACACAATTTCTTTCAGGGTGGTAAAACTAGATTTTTAAAGTCAAAGTCAATTTGTTGGTCATTATTTTTGATGTCACAGTAGTAAGTTGATTCAAAGTCATCTCCCATAGCATCAAGTGAGTGCTGTATGTGCTTCAAACATGCAACGTCGCTGCTGACAGAAAAACGTATTGCAGTCTGGTTCTAGCTGCCCCCCCCCCCAAAAAAAAAGCGAAGTCCTGAATTATTGCATTCGATGCTCAAGACGAGGGGAAGAGCCAACTCCAGTAGCTCTGGTATCTTGGGTTATTTATCACCGGTAGGGCGAAGAGTAACTGTTGCTGCAGCAAATGTTGATTCATATCTTACAGACATCCAGTGCAATGTCAAGGCTGCAAAACTGGATTTTTTAAAGTCAATCTTCTGTTCATTACTTTAATGTAGTAAGTTGAATCTGTCCTCTCCCATAGCAGCAAATGATTGCTACATGTGTTTAAACATGCAATGTCGCCACTGCAGAAATCGGTTGCTTAGGGACCGGAAAGAACGTAAGAGGACATTGAAGTAAGTAGAACATTAGTCAATCAGTGACTGTTTTGAAAGGTAAAAACACGTCATCAGAGTTTCTAGTGTGCACCTCAAGTGCATACGACACATGTACATATTTAGATT